TCAGCTGGCAGCAAAAACAAATTTGCCCGGTACTCCCAGTTCTCCCCCAAATACCTATGAGTGCTAACAAAAGGCAGGCATGTGTACCCCATGGAGGCTTGCAGGAGAAAAATGCCCTTCAAGTCCTGTAACTGTTTCAAATGTAGTAATTCTCTCTTCTTTTTAATGTATCCATACTTTGAAATAAAAATTGAAAAAGTATATATGGACATTTGAAATTTGCTAGTAAAGTAGATCTAAAGTAAAATGAAATTGTTACTATATGAGGTGATGGGCATGTTAATTAGTTTGCAGTAATCATTTCACAATATATATATATGCATTATGCATCAGATTTTACACCTTAAATGTATGTAATTATATTTGCTAGTCATGCCTCTATAAATCTAGGGGGAAAATCTTTTAAAAAAGAAAACATAACATGTTCCTGATTCTCCACCTGCTAGCAATAGCTGGGTTTTTTTAACTTCTAAACCTACTATCTTATTTGCGCATCTTCTTTCAATATTTGGGCTCTGAGAGCTTGTCAGAGAACTCTGATTATAATTCTTATGAACTGTCCATCATAAGTTAGGCTAAGTGTGCACAACCCAGTTTGCTTATTTTTATGAGGTGAAGATGACTGAAGGAAAGGCAGGCAGCAGAATTTCTGCTCACAGATATATAGGGATTTCTGATTTCCATTCTCAAACACATAACTTTGGAGTGTGCTAAATGTCTAGGTGTAGGGCAACAGAAGTCCTGGCAGGAGAGGAACCAGGTAGGAATGGCTGTGCAGCAGCTATGAGGTACTGTCACAGGGATCAGGCATTATGGGCCTCCTTGGGCACATGGATTTTGTTCTTGATTAGGACAGGTGTCACATAGAAGAATTACTTGTTATATGATCAGATTCAGAGACATTATCTTTAGTTTGTTGTTTCTGAAGCAATGAGAAAATCTTGCTAATCTTTGTTTTTTGCCATGTCATTCTCAATTTTTCTATTAGAAAATCTTACCTTAGGAAGACCTGTTCTTTATTAGTTTGTGTTCATTGAGAACCATTGAAAAATCATTCTATGCCCACAGGAAGCTTAGAGGGGCATATGCTTTCTCCAGTTCTGGCAAATTACTTTAGTCCCTCTTTGGGGGACTTTTCTCAGGAATTGTTTATTTGTGATCTTTTTAAGGGTTAAGATTTTACTCATTCATAATGAAATTCTCAGACAGTCCTAGACTCTTCTAGTAAGGCCCTTGCTGTGTCACTTTTATCTAATCAGGAGCTCCACAGCTTGCCTATTTTCTTCATTGATAAAATTGAGAATAAAACTCTATAATTCTAAAGCTGAATAAAAGTTAAATGAGTAAACATAGGTGCATGTGTTTTGTGAGTCAAGACCTCCTAAGCACTTAAAATATTAAACTATTATTTACTTGTGTCTTTAAAAATTGAAAGTTCAGTTTTCCAATTGAAGGTTCAATTTTCCAAGAATCTTTGAAAAATTGACACTGGATAAGAACTCTGTCCCTTGTCCCCACTTTGTGTGAGTTCTGGGTACACAGCTATGTAGCATATATCCTGAAGCCATGAACATTCCTTGGGACCAATAGAAAAAGCTGTTACCATGTTTCAGTGCTGGAAGAACTTGTCTAAAGATGCTATTGGTTTCTGGGGCAGAAACAAAGATGCTGGGGCTCAGAGTTAGAAAACGATACTTCCCACAGCCCAGGTGCTCAGCGGAGCACTCAGGACCATGGACTCCTTGCCACACCTCTTCCACACGTCTCTTCTGCATGGGCCATAATGGCATCAGGCATACCTGGAATAACAATTTTCTGAGGAACAACTGTTCTCTGTCAGTGGGCTCTCTATCAAAGCCAAAACCAGACTCCAAATCAAAGCACATCCGTTCATATAAGATACAATATAATGTAGTGATGCACACCTATAATTGCACCATTCCAGGAGCCAAGGCAGGAAGATTACAAGTTTCAAGGCTGGCCTGAATTACATAGCAAAACCCTGTCTTAAAAAACAGAAATGGAACTAGAGGTGTGGCTAAGTGGTAGAGTGCCTACTTTGCAAGTGTGAAGCCCTGAGTTCAAAACCCATCACACCAAAAAAAAAAAAAAAGAAACAATATTAGGTGACATGGACACCACTAGACCATATAGTACTTTGTGCCAACTAGTCAACAGCACCCAGTCCTGAAGACTGTTTACTTCCATCTGCCAGAATATTAAGCATATCTACTGATTTTCCTATAATAATATACTCTACTGTCATCTGTTGGGAAATGGTCATAATAAATTTATGCATCTATGATATCTGTGATGTGAGTGACACATCCCACACCCTTTACATGCAGAACACAACCTGTGCTGCTATCCTCAGTACTCCCTGGCCTTGTGAGTGCAATATGTTTTAAGAATGATCTTTGGGTCCCAAGAAAACAGATATACATAGTGGTGGCTCCAACCTCCCATCCAAGAGATCGCACACAAGTTGTGTTGTGAATAGGACTTTTAAGACCAGAGCTAGAGGGACAATAGCCTAGAAACTCTAGGCTTCCACATACTTTGTAGAGGGTAAAAAGAGGTAAGGGTATGAGGAGAGACAGGTGCACATGTGGGGGCCTCAGCACATGAGTTTCTAATGAATATGCTCTTGTGTTGGGAAGGAACCTCCAGGGCTGAGAAACCAGAAATTCAATGTCTATGGAATGGCCTTGAGACTGAAGCTCAAAACCTAGGAGTCTTTCCACTCATAGTAAGAAAGCTGCTGCTCTTTCCCTATCAGATTGCACTGCCTGTGACCCACTGGAAGCCAGTGCTGAGGAGTCCCTTGGCAATGTGGGTGGTGCTATGTAGTAGCTTCTCATCTTTACCAGGGCAATACCACCCCCTTCTGGGGTACAGGATTGGTGCAGCAAGACAATTCCTGCTTTTTCTGCTTTGAGGAAGCTTAAAAACCCTCAGAGAGACTGCTGCAGTTTGGATATGTGCTGTTAGTGTGTTCCCCAAGGATTCGTGTGTTGAAGCTTGGTCACCAGTGTTCCAAGAGGTTAAGAGGTAATGGGACCTTTAAGTGGTGGAGTGATTGGGTGAGTCGGGTGGTCCTTTGAAGGAATTATTGTAGTTCTCACAGGAGACTGATCAAATCTCATGAGAGGGTTGCTATAAAAGATCAGGTCAGCTCCCTTCCATTCTCTGGCTCCATGTATTGCCATGTGATGGGCCCTCTAGCATGCCCACCACCATGATGCCATCCACATCACCAGAGGCTGAACCAATTATGCTGCCTGATCTTGGGCTTTCAGCCTCCAAAACTGTGCGATAAATAAGCCTCTCTTCTTTATGGAGAGCCCAGCATTGGGTGCATTGTTACAGAAATGAAAGTGGATATATGCAGTGTCTAGGGATTGCTTCCCTGGACATTTTGTTCATAGTGGAGAAGCTTGAGGACAAATTATAGAACGAAGAGGTGAGATGTACTCATGAGAGCTGGGTTTGCCTTATGAGTTGTTGGGGGCAGGTTTTGTATATGCACTCACTGCTGGTAGCAGACAGCAGAGATTACTAGTCTCAAGGATTTTCAAATATGACTATGGGAATTACAAGCTAATGACATTATGATTACATACACCTGCAATGCAACAGGCCTGCCAGCAGCTGATCAAGTGTGTGCCCCTGTTTGAATTCCTCTGTTAGAGGGAAGGAAGGATTGAGTGCATGTACTTTATTTGGGAGATGTGCTCAGAAAAGATTGTTGAGTATGGAGGTGAGACAGGGAAGGGAAGGGAGCTGGTAAAGGATGTGCTCTCCAGCTGGCTGCCACTGCGGGGCAAGGCCACTGGGAAACTCCTGCAGAACAGCCACTGCAGGGTTCTTCCGCCCTAGAAGAGAGGCACTACAGTTAGCCATGTTTAAGGGCCAACACAGGGAGGAGTGTCTGACCTCAGAAACAGGTCACTGTTGCTGGTAAGCAAAGAACAAGAGATGCCACAGCCCCCTGGGCATGAGGAAGCATGTAAGCGTTGTGCTACAAAAAGTTGCTTAAGGCCAGGCACAGTGTCTCACACCTGTAATCCTAGCTACTCAGGATATAGAAATCAGGAGGATTGTGGCTAGAGGATAGCCAGAGCTATCCTCTTAGCAAGACCCCATCTCAATCAAAGAGCTGAGTGCCGTGGCACTCGCCTGTCACCCAAGTACACAGAAGGTATAGGTAGGAGTATCATGGTCCAAGGCCATGTCCAGGCAAAAAAAAATGAGATCCTTTCCAAACATAACTAAAACATGAAAGGACTGGGCGCTTGACTCAAGTGGCAGAATGCTTGCCTAGCAATTTTACTTAAATGTTTTCCATCAGTGCCTGTGTGAGAAAAATTGGAAACTTAATTAACCATGCAGCACCAGGCAGAGGGCACTCTTTTCAGAACTCAGCTAAAGGACGAGCCAACCACCTTGAGTCAGGATGAAGCACTAGCTCTAGGTGAGCCCCTACTGCTGGCTCTAGTATGCAGACCCCATGAATTCCATAGGTGTGAGAGAAAGACCAAAATGACAGCAGGGGGGAATGCAGACCTGCAGATGCTCTGAGACCTTACCATGTGAGAGCATTATTTTTTAAATTGTCTTCTGTATGTTTCAGATCTCTAAAGAAAATGCAGCACCCCAAGCTTATTTGACCATAAAACCGTGTTTTACTCTTAAATACCACAAAGAACTCTCAGTGACTAGTGTTCCCCAGCATCCAATTTGAAAACAGTGCAGAGAAGCATTTTAAAGGAACAACCAGCCTGCCAGAGCCAGCTTGCAGAAAGTTCACACGTTGAGAACTGTAGCTCAGCATGAGGCTCATCTTGCCAGTGTATGTCTAGAGTACACTCCAACCTGACGCTTTGCATGCCTTCCCAGGCCTGGGAGGACAAGTCACACTGCTCATAGGCCAGGCCACCCTGGAATCAAAGCAGCCTACTCTCCAGCATGACTAACGCAGTCCTCTTTCTACCTTTCAGATGGGTTTCTTCCGCCGAAGGTACAAAGAAATCATCGAAGCTGAAAAAAACCGGAAAGAGAATGAAGAGAGTTGGGACTGGGTCCAGAAAAACCAGTGACCTACCACTCCAGTTATGTTACCCAGTCACCAGCCCATTGTCCCTGATCTTTGTATCTTCCATATTTGGAAGAGAGGAATCTTCTCCAGATTTTTCGGAGGCCCCGCTGATGCTATTCTCTTCCTCATTCTCTCAAGCCCAGGTGCCAATCTTAGGCAGCCACTTCGCCAGGTCACATGACTGGTGCCACCACTACTTCCTCTGAAAGATGAACTCTAAGTGAGTTGGAAAGTGATCTACAGAGCCGAGCAATATTTATGGATGCAACATGCGTGGTCAACCCTCAGGGGAAAACTGTTACCTAAAAGTATTTTTATAAATATAAGCCTTTTATATTGATTATGTCTATATTTGTATCAATGTTATATTATTTCTATTAAATAGTTATATAATTCACTCAAGCACTGAAATCTGGCCTAAAATCTTGGAAATAAAAGGACCTGTATACAAATTCCTTTGGAACTTGCTGTTAAAAAAACAGTCTTGCAGATAAAATAAGCTGAAGAAACCTCAAGAAAGAAACCCACCAAGTGGCAGTGCTGCCTATAAACTATGGATGTGGCAAGACCCCTATGATGTTTCACATCTTATTGCTGGGAGCCAACTTTGGAGCCCTGCTAAAGAACTACAGGTGCTCTTTTGTACCTTCATTGGAAGATTCCCAACAGGAACTTGGATGGGAACCTGATTCCTCACAAGTGTGCTCTGCATCACCTCAAACAACAGACATCTCACTCTCCTGCTCCATTCAACAGGTGGAGGCTTGGAGCCATGCCGGGGAGCATCTGTAAACCTCAGAATGGCGCCTCATCCTGGACGCCATGTGTCAGAGCTCACAGTTCACAGGACTCGCTCAGTTCTACCCGGGCAAACATTCAACCTGTCCTTTCATATGTGTATTTTAAGTGTTTTAAGTGGAATTCCCAAGAAGACCCTAAACAAGAATTTGTGAGCAAATAACTTATTAAGGAAGTGTTCCCAGGATAGCATGGGGGTGTGGGGGCTACCACATACAAAAGGGAGAAAGCCATTTTAGAGGATTCCACTGGTGTCTTCAGCCTGCCCAACTCTGGAGAGAAAGTTATGCCTTAGTGGTACCAGCCTAACAAGGGAGTGGGACATTGTACTCCCTCACCCAAGGGACAGGTAAACCCCGTTCTCAGCGCCTGTGGCAAGATGGCTGTCTCCTCGACAAGAGAGCTGCGGAGCTCCCCAGTCTGGGAAGACACAGAAATGATGCAGACATCTGGGTAGAACATTGAGGTTGCCCCTGCCCTACCCCACACAAATGAACAGTGAGTTACAGTCTTTGCACAGCTACACCGTGCTGCCCAGTTCTTAGTGCAGATTAATTTATTAAAAGCAGTGAGATGAAGGCTATAGCATGCTCAGCACTGTATTGGGTTTTAGTGAACATTAGTAATTGCCAGCAGCTATGGCTGGTGCTCCCACTGCTGGCTAACAAGACCGAAAACATGCGTGAGAGTCTTAATGCCTTATTATAGCCAGCCAGATATATATGGCATCAAAAGGAGTGAAACAATATACCAGACTAAGGATCTTTCTTATTAGGCCTTGCTTCCTGGAAGTTAACGTGGTGGGTGTCTGACCATTGGTGAAAAAACAAAACTCAACTTCTGGGGATACAGATTTACCATATACACCCTTGGCCAATCCACACACCTAAAGTTTGGGCAAAATATGAGGGTGCTGAGCAGATGCAAACCTGGCATAGAGCATGTGGCCTTTTGTTTCTCATTGTTATGCATCAGGAGCATAAGGAATGTGCCATGTTTGCTTTCCTGTGAATATGGTAATGGACAACAAACACTGTGAACCATAGAAGTGAGGGATGTTGCTTCTAACCAGAACAGAAGCATACAGGAGCCTCTGCAGGGCAGGATCAGGCTGGGAAAGCAGTCCTCACAGTTAGTTTATAGGTTTTATAAAGAGCAACAAGAAAAGCAGTCTTGGTACTTTTAACAGCCATATCGGGGCCCCCACTGTGTGCCAGGCACTGAGATGGGTGCCAGAAGTTCCCCAGAGAACACCACTGGCACACTGTGCCTAAGGGTGGCAAGCCCTCTCCAGTCATGCAGTGACTATATCTTTATAGACTCCATTTTCAGCTTTCCTTTGTGGAGTCCTATTAATGTGCCATATTTTCTTTTAATAAATCATTTAGGATTCTTAGGTGGCAAATCCAGTTCAGCTTCTATCAGCAGGTTGTCCCCACTAATCTGTTTGCTGCCAGGAGTGCAGACACACTGATGGCAGAGTAGAAGTTCTGCCAGCCAGAGAGCAAATACCCATTTTAAGAAACATGGACTTGGAGGAAAGATAGCCTCAGAGTGAGGGAGCATTTGCTTCTGCCTGACTTTGAACGGTGGACACATGGGAGTAGTCGTGTACTTAGTAGGCCACTAAGATTTCATAAGGCAGTTTTGAAGAAAACTCTACTTGGCATCATCTGGAGAAAATCCTGGCAGCTACCCCCAGGACCTGTTTGGGGAAGGATGATGTCTGTTTCCCTGATCCTGCTGAGTAGCAGCTGGAGCTATAGAGCCAGGATAAGGCCACTTAGCCCAGTGGTAGAAAAGTTGAGAATACTGTTAAAGTTGAGCTCTCTCAACTTGGGTATTTCACCAACTCCCTCCCAGCTCTCAATAGGCTTGCAGGGGATGTGGACAGGGTGGGTTGATGTGTCTGTGTCACTTCTCCAGAGAATTCTCTTAAATTCCACCATGAATGCCATTTCCACCCTCTGCCTCCGTGAGCTCACTTGTGGAATCCTAACACATATTCTCTTGGGCACCATTATTGTCTGCTTTGTCTCTAATTGTGTATTTAGTGGGGTTTTACCAGCTGTCTGAGGACTGAGATACTTGTTAAATATGAAATTGACTGTTGTAGAAATTGAGTAAATAATACTCAATTTACATAGATCTCAAAATAATTTAAAACATCCCCAAAGTGAGCCCCGGACCTGTCACAAAGAAGAAACCATGAGGTTGAAAAGCACGGGGACACTAGTGGGAGGAGCAGGTGACTGGCTATGTGGTGACTGATGGGCACACAGCCAGCATCCCTGCCTCTGAGGTCTTTCTGGCAGAAAAGCCTCTCATCTCTAGGATTCAGAGGTTTCACAAAGTATCAGAAATCCAGTAGAAAGTCACTTCCACCAAATCTTGTGTAACCTACAGTCCTAGAGCCAAAGGCAAGAAAGGTAACAATGAACAGAAAAGACTACCTTGGGCTTGAGTCCCCTGTGACTGCATGCTATACCTACCTGTTTAATCCCAGCATAGTGGGTTTGGAAAGGTTATTCACAAGGTTTATTTTTGAGTAAAGTATTATGGCCAGATGAATGCAGTTATGTCTTGTTACCTGATGAAATGCGTGCCTGATTTCAACTTCCTAGAATTTAGAGGTGCTGCAAAGAATTGTCATTTGAGGGATGGCCTAGAGGTGCGGCTCAGTTGTAGAGTACTTGCCTCATGAATGAAGCCTTGACCATGACCCCTAGTCTCAGTGCAGACAAAAGAAAAGTTATTTGTGGGAAATGTTCCTTTAGCAAGCAAAAGGCAGAAAGTGAATATCATTTGAGAAATGCTCCAAGAATAGTTTTAGTTTATGATTTTTTTTTATTGCTTTGATATATGAAGAAGCAATATACACAGTGGAGAATATTTTCTGAAACAAAGAATGGCTAAAGTGTGGCCTCAGAGCCAGTAGGGCCAAAGTGAACTTCTAGAATGTCTTCTGATTTTTCAGCATGTGAGGGGGATAATGAGCAAATTTCCCAACATGGTGCAATGCTTTATAGCACAATGATCTAGATTTCAGGTTTGTTAAAGTGTTTGTTTTGTTTTGTTTTGTTTTGTTTTGTTTTGTTTTTAATCCTGATGTGCACATAGTGACTGGCAGGGTAAGTTTAAAAGCTTTAAGAGTGAGTAATTGCATGGCAGGCACCCACACTCTCTGCACTTCGAGAACTTTACATGTATACTTCTATAGAGGACTTTTGGTGGGAGGGATGCCTCCTCACTGTGTCATGAATATTAAAATCTATTCAGTCACTTCTAATTCACTTGCACTGTTTGGAAAATGCCAGGTTTACAATACATGTTTGGAATAAAAAATGGCTGCAAATGATTCAGTAGTTCAGACTGTAATTTCTTGCGAATAAGAACTTTCTAAGTTCTGAAGGTGGAGTTCTAAGGTAATTCAAAGTGAGCATTAAAGAGCACATCAAGATCTAATTCAACATGAAAAACCCACTCAATGTAGCCATTCCTTACTCTTTTCCTCCATACGCTGAGGCTACCACTTTGTCTGTGCATCACCTGCCTGCTCAGGACTGTACCCAAGTCCTCTGAGATGAATGTGCCAAATTAAATGAGAAGAATTCCCATTGGTAGCTTTCTCCCACAGGTGCCCAGCAGTCACTACACATCTCTTTACTACCTTTCTGCTTATAATCTTACACATTGACAGGTGCTGTTTTCTTAGATTTTTAATCTTCTACCTCATTATGCCCTTTCTCTTGTCCTAAATATTGTTCATCTGTGTGCTGCTTTTTTCCCTAGATTTTACCAACAAAAATGTACCTATGGTTTTGGCCACTTTCAAGAATTGGCCTTTGGCTATACCAATCAGGTCTACTGGGTTTTGCTTTCTATTTCATCAGTTACATCTTTAATGTGTATTAAAATTTCTTCTATTTGTTTCCTGAAGAAATACATCTCACTGACAAAGATAAACATTGACTTACGGTAAAAGGATGGAAAAAGAATGTCCAAGTAAATGGACCCCCAGAGCAGGCATGAATGAGTAGCTATACTCATAAAAAGACTTTAAACCAAAATTAATCAAAAGAGACCAGGTCACTTCATATTAACAAAGAACAATCCATCCAGAAGAGGTAACAATTGTAAATATATGCACCAAACATCAGCATACCCAATTTCATAAAACAAACACTACTAAACATAGAAGCACAGATTGACCCTAATACAATAATTGTGTATGACTTCAATA